AACATTTTATATATATATATATATATATATATATATATATATATATTATATATTATATAATCATACATATTTTAAAGACATACATGTATGTATGATATATATGTATATATGATATCTTCTGTATATGTACGTGTATATATTTATAAATATTTAAAAATATGCGTATTAGTTTCCTAGGGCTGCCTTGACAAAGAACCACAAACCAGGTGGCTTAGAACAACAGAAGTTTATTCTCTCCGAGTCTGGAGGACAGAAGTGTGATATCAAGGTGCGGCAGGGCCACGCTCTGTCTGAAGGCTCTAGGGGAAGCTCCTTCCTTGCCTCTTCCAGCCCCTGGGGGCTGCTGGCAGTCCTTGGTCGGCTTGTAGATGTATCACTCCAGTCTATGCCTTTGTCATCACATGGTTTCCCGTGTCTCTGTGTATGAATTTTTTCTTCTTATAAGGACACCGATCATTGGATTAGAACCTGCTCTAATCCAGCATGACCTCATGTTAACTTGATTCCATCTGCAGGCCTTCCTTCCAAATAAGCACACATTCCAGGTTCTGGGGGTTAGGACTTCAACATATCTTGTTGGGGGACACAATTCAGGCCACAACAATGGGTGATACATTTTGTATTGTTAAATAATCAAAATAATTCAACGTCTGTTGTAAGAGTTGCTGTCACCCCATTCTCTCACCTCCTGTAGCTGCTTTTATTAGCTTCTTGTACGCCCTTCCAGACACTTGAAAGTGTAAACACGTGGCCAGCTGCCCTCGCAGAAAGCCGGGCCTGTGCCTGCTGCCCCGCGGTAGCTTCTGCACCTAACCATTATGCCCTGAACCTTTTCCCGTCTCTGGATTCAGTGTTCCCTCCTTCCTGGATATGGCTGCATAGTATTCCACCATGAGGACAGACTTTTTTTCATTGTAGCTTTATATTGCGTTATTTTTTTGCCCCTTGAACTCCTGCAGTTTCTGTTATTTTTAGAAACAGCTGATTTTTCCAGAGACCCGTGCTGGGCTCCTGCTCGGTGCCGGAATGCATCTGATGCTCTCTGTTGTGGCTTTTCTTTTTGGCTCAGCACACCGAGTGAGCACCTGGTGCTGGGAGACATTTGTCTTGATTCTGTAGCATGTAAGACACAGAAGGACATGGGAGCAAAGCTCAGACTCGTAGGCCGAGTGCAACAGGTGCGCACATGACTGCCTTGCCCGGCAGTGCTTCCTAATGTCAAGGGCGTGAGGCTGGAGTGTCCCTAGGCTGCTCGTTCAATTGCAGATTACCAAACCCTACCCCAGGTCTCCTGGATTAGACTCTCTGGGATTGGGACCCAGAAATCTGTATTTTCAGATGCCCTGTATTTCCAGGTCATGAGAGGTAAATGGTCAGTTGTTAGATTTTCTCCGAGACCTGGTAGCAAGGAGAACAGCGGCCGTCTGCCGAGGCCTCTGTGTGCCGCACTGAGCGAGGTGCTCTGCGGACATCACCCATGTGATCCAAGCCCAAACCCTGGCGTGAAGCAGGTGGTACTTTACCCCAGGGTCACGGAGGCCTCGCCCGGGACGTGGAGCTGGTGTCCCTGCCCTGTTCTTTCTGAGAGTGCAGAGCTGGCCAAGCCACCCAGTTGCCTCGAGTGGGTTCCCCACCACAGAGGCTGGAGATAGAATTTCTGGAAGAAGCTTCAGACCCCAGCATCTTCTCTGAGATGCTCCAGGGAGACGCACAGGCAATGTCTTCATCTAGTAAAATCAAATAACTTGTTTCATCTTTGTTATATGACTGTAGCAATCTTGGCCCATTCCAAGACGCCTTTGTCTAGATCCCGAGGCAGCTACCTGGGGTACACTGCACGTGGGCGTCTAGTGTCTGCAGGAACATCTGCTGAATGTGAATGCATTCACAAGTCTTTTATTAAAAAAAATTTTTTTTTCATGTTTTCCTCTTATTTTTTTAGATTTCTTCTTATGGGGGTACAGTTGCTTTTCACAGGTCTTTTAAAAATCTTAGAAAATCTGATTTCTCTTTAACTTTCACCCAAAAGGGTTCCCTGTACCAGAATTTATGCTTACCCTAATTTTTGGCAAACTGACATCCATATAAGATGACTTTTGACCCTGTAGCATTGTGACTGAAAAGCCAGGTTATAAGAATATGTAAATATCGTCTGGGAGCTGTTTTCACCTTCTGTGTGGTACTGAAGACCTCAAGGCGGCATTCATCTCTGTTGGACTTATTTATTGATAGACTATTTTGGATGGAAATACTTTCCCCCCTCCCCTTTGCTCTATTGAGGTACACTTGACAAATAAAATTGTATAAATTTAAGGTGTACGTGATGGTTTGACACATCCATTGAGAAATGATTACCACAATAAAATCAGTTAACACATCCATCACGTCACACGGTTACCTTTCTTTTTACATGGTGAGGACTTTTAAGATCTACTCTCTTAGCAACTTGCAAATATGCGCTACAGTATTGCTAACTATACTCACCATGCTATGGACATGAGGTTCATGAGATCCGGGGACTTATTCCCCTTACAGCTGGGAGTTGGTACCCTTTGACCAGCATCTCCCCATTTCCCCCAGCCCTCCAGCCCCTGGCAATTGCCTTTCTACTCTCTATTTTGAATTTGGCTTTTTTGGAGGGAATGCTTATTTTTTCTTTAGGAAACACAAAGGTTTAAAAAACAGTAAAAGTGGTACCACAGTTCTCTATATTATTCACATGCTGCCAGGAGGACTCAGTTGCCGTCTGATTTAAATTACTATGAGTTTCATGAAAGGTGCATGTGCTGATCGACATTTCTTTTGAATCTCGTGAGAATGGAGTTGGGGCCGGCCCGCTCTCCAGTAATGAAGCTGCCGACCTGGAACAGGAAGGAAATGACGGCTGTGAAAGGGAAGAGAAGCATCGCCATCGCTGTTCAAGTCTCTTGTTTCATTCTGTTTCAGAGCCTGGCTAAGCTGACTGATGGCTTCAGGAATAGCTGTTCTCTTACCGACCCTCTGCAAGAGTTCCCTCCCAGTGCAGGCGCGCTGGGCGAGTCTTTACCTCACCAGTTCTGCGATGCTGGGTCTCAGACTGAGGTCATCGGCGAGGTACGCTCACTGGGCAGGGGGAGGAACCTAGTGTGCCCAGAGAGAAAAGGACTGGTTTCGTGTGGCCAGCACCCATTTCTTTAAATTTTCCACTTTCCCTTCAAAAATGTTTTGACTTTTGTGCCATTAAGCTTGAAGAAATAATATTGTTTTTCACTTCTAGCCATCTTGAAGGTTCAGGGGTCTGAGAGGCAATTGAATGGCTTATTACCTCTATCCTTGTGATTTGCATTCTTAAAAAAGGCCGAATCCTCTTGAGAGTTGAGTCTAGATGTTTCTTGGCAGACCTGTGACTTTTTAGAGCATGGATCAGCTAACTTTTTCTGCCAAGGTCCAGATAATAAGTGTTGTAGGCTTTGCTGGCCATGCAGTCTCTGCCATAGCTACTCAGCTGTGTTGTCATAGTACAGAAGCAGCTGTTGGCCATATGTGAATGGGTGGGTGGGGCTTGTTCCAGTAAAATTCCAATAAAACTTTATTTACAGAAAGAGGTGGTGGGCCGGATTTGGCCTTCGGGCCATAGTTTGCTGAGCTCTGGCTTAAGCCAGTGATTTTCAGAGGCTTTGTGGCTGTGTCACTCTTGGCTTATACTTTGATGCTATTTCTTATTCTTCTAAGAGAATGTCAGGAAATTGAATTGAATTGAAATTAATTTTGTTTGGGACTTGGAAGAATTTCATAATGCCCCTTTTGATAATTAGTAAAGCCTGGAGTTAGCCACAAAAACAAAATTGGCAACCATCATTTGAAGCAGGGTGGTGAATACTTAAAGACACTACTGTTGTAATGGCATTGAGTGAAGTTTTACATTTATTTGTTACAAATGGAAAAACAGTTTGGATGGCTTCTTTTTCTTAGGGCTTACTCAGTAAAGATGAAATATCAATGGAATGCAGAATGCCTTCCTAAAATTAAATAAATAAAAAGAAACAAAAAGAAAGGAAAACCATTGACTAAAAAACTCTGGATTTTAAATAATTAGCTGATATTTTAAAATGTCGACAAATAGTGCCTCTTTCAGGGGAGTATAATATAGGAAATAATGCCTCTGTGTCTTGGATGTCCTGAACTGCCCTATTTGCTGTGTTCCCCTCATTGTTCTCAAAAGTACACTTGGACATTTTTTGACTAGGTATCTTGGTTTAAAACAGAGAAGAATCTGTAAGTCAAAAATGTCTGGCTGGGCTTCCCTGGTGGCGCAGTGGTTGAGAGTCTGCCTGCCGATGCAGGGGACACGGGTTCGTGCCCCGGTCTGGGAAGATCCCACATGCCGCGGAGCGGCTGGGCCCGTGAGCCATGGCCGCTGAGCCTGCGCGTCCGGAGTCTGTGCTCCGCAACGGGAGAGGCCACAGCAGTGAGAGGCCCGCATACAGCAAAAAAAAAAAAAAAAGTCTGGCATTTTTGCCTAAAGATTTTGGCATAAGAGAAGGAAAGAAGTATGATACTTATTGAATTCCATGAATAATTCATTGCTGCTCAACATAAGGTTAGAATTAGAGTTTTTAGAGACTCTTAACTAGTTTGAGAGCAACAGGTAAGATTGAAGGTTCTGTAATGATTTAGTTAAGACTTTCTAAAAATGTCAGGTGGGGAGTGGCTGGTTATACAGCTATAATAACTTCAGTAGTAAATTATCATTGTTTATGAGTTTACTGGGTCTGGCCCTGGCAGCTTCATGGCTGTTACCTCAATTTACGTAGCGGTTTCCATCTTCTTTTGACAGACGAGGGGGTCAAGGTGCCAGGTTACCCATGGTCATGTAGCCAGGGAGAGGCAGGTCTGGGTTTGAGTCAATGTCTCTGATCCCTAAACCTCTGTGTTTTCTACTACATCATGTTATAGAAAAATATATCAAAAGACTATAACTGCATTAGTTAGCTATTGCTGCATAACAAAACGTCCCCAACCTAGCATTTTAAAACAGCACACTTTTATTATCTCACATTTATACTGTGGATCAGGAAACTGGGCTGTGTCCTCTGCTTCAGGGTCTCTCAAGAAACTGCAGTCAAGGTGTCAGCCAGGGTTGCAGCCTCATGGGAAGGCTTGACTGGGAAGGGTCCACTTTCAGGCTTACATGATTGTTGGCAGGATTCAGCTTCTCACAGGTTGTTGGACTGAGGGCTTCTGTTCCTTACCATATAGACCTCTCTAGCACGGCAGCTTGCTTTGTCACAGTGTGGAAGCCAAGAGAGTCTCCAGCAGGAAGGAAGTCACAGTCTTTTGTAATCTAATCACAGAAATTACTTCCCATCATCTTTGTTGTATTCTTTTGGTTAGAGTCAAGTCATGGGTCTAGCCCACTCTCTGGGATTTCACATTGGATGAATCCCAGGAGGTGAAGGCCGTTGGGGGCCGTCTTAGACGTCTGCCTACCTCATGTAGTTATCACTTTGAGTTAGTTTTGTGGGATGGGCATTGATGTAATCAAACATGCTTTTGGAGCCCAAGGCTTTGCAAGCACAGATTTGTAAGCAGTACAAGCCTAATGTTGGAATTTAGCAGTTGGAGTACATGTTGTAGGGCTATGTAGGATCCATGAAGCAGGAACCTGTTGGATCTGTTTGGCTGTAGGCTTTTTTTTTTAAATTAAAATGTCCATTTCATTCTCACAAAAGAGTGCAAAATCAGAGCTTAGAGGTTCATAAATAGCATTGAGAAGAGATTTAAAAAATGACATTTATTTGTCTTGATGATGAGTCAGCTTTAGGGGTCTCTAATGAACAAGGTGACAAGTAGATCATATCCAGTGTAGAGAGTTTCTGCAGATGCGGTGCTGCAGCCTAAATGCATTTACATTGAGGACACTGTGGAGAGAGGCCTTGGGTGAGGCTGCTGAAATGTGTAAAATCGTGACACATCTCATTGGCGAATGCTTATAGTCTCGTATAAGGCATTTCTTCTTGCCATTCAAGGCGATAAAGATATAAGGAAATTCCCCATTGACCTGTCTCAAAACTCTTATCAGTGAATTCATTACCAGTCATACAAGTAGAGTATTTCCAAATATTAGTTGACACGAGGTCATTTAAAAAAATAAAGACTTAGTAGTGGCCGTAAGATATGGCCGAGTAAGGTCAGATCTACAGATGGAGCCGATTTATTGAAACTAGAGCCATATATTTCCAGGAATGAAGGAAGAAGTAATCAAGGTGAGCTGCAGTTACCTCTCATACAGGTCTTGTTTGTTTTGTTTGGGAATTTGTTGGCTTCAGTGTAATTGGTATGAAAATATTTAGGTGCAACTAGTAATCGCATCAGAGCTCCTCATTTCAACTCTTTTTTTTTAAATAAATTTATTTATTTATTTTTGGCTGTGTTGGGTCTTCATTTCTTCATTTCTGTGCGAGGGCTTTCTCTAGTTGTGGCGAGCGGGGGCCACTCTTCATCGCAGTGCGTGGGCCTCTCACTGTTGCGGCCTCTCTTGTTACGGAGCACAGGCTCCAGACGCGCAGGCTCAGTAGTTGTGGCTCACGGGTTGCTCCGCAGCATGTGGGAACCTTCCCAGACCAGGGCTCGAACCCATGTCCCCTGCACTGGCAGGCAGATTCTCAACCACTGCACCACCAGGGAAGGCCTCATTTCAACTCTTGACTCCTGAGGCGAGGCGGCCAGTCCCAGGCTTTTCCGTGCCTTCCTTCCGTTCTTTCACCTTTGATTCTTTAACGGGCTGCATAGCAGTCGAAGGAGTCCCGTAGCCAACATCTCACACAGCTAGTCCGTCTTCTTCAGATCTTGTGACTTTTTAGGAGAACACCATTGTTTTGTGTTGATTGAGGAGTGAGAGCGTATACTACACTAGGCGGGATGATTTTTTTTGCTTTTCTATCAACTTTGAGGAATTCCCTATTTCTTTTACGACTTAATTTGTTGTTGTTGCTTGGAATCACACAATAGATGAATATACTTCCACTGGTTTAAAAACAAAAAATCCACCAGTGCTGGGACAGCGAAAGTATTCCCAGCCCCACTCCCAACCTCCACTGACCAGAGGTGGCAGCTGTTATTTGGTGTGTTTCCTTCCAGACCTTTGAAAAATGGAAATTGGAAGGCAAATTAAAATATTCTTCATTGTTGCTGGAAGTTTAAGTGAATTTTCTATTTTGAAAATATGTTTTTAATGTGTCTCCCCCATTTTTTTCCTTTCTTCTGTTCCACAAAGTTCGTCTTTGATGATAAAACAAGGCTTGTGGACCGAGTCAGGCTTAACTGGCAGTATGAGGAAGCCAGAAAGAGGTAAGAAGCTCCTTTTTCAAACCTTGCCTCCTGCTTACTTCCTTTCTCCTGTGGAAAGCGGTTTTGCGGAGTTCCAGCGTGTGATTTATCCACTTCTTATCAGAAAGCAGTGTCTGATAGAGTACAGAATTAAGGTTCTTCATTTATGCATAGCTTCTGAATACATGTGACAAAATTTCATGTGCATTAAAATGTGAAACTCTCAATATTGCAAACAGTTATGAAGACGGGATTTAATAAAAACAGAGACTTTTCCGGCTCTCCTTATCCTTTCAGGTAGTTCAGAACCCCCTCCCTGCCTTCTGATGGAGCATCAGTCCCTCAGACCAGCTTAAGCAAACCTGGTTTTTGAATATGTGGTTGCTTATTCCATAGGTTAACAGAAAAAGCCACGTATCTTGGGTTAAAAGACAGTTTAGAAAGGATTAGGTCAACGGGTGATAGCGGTACCTAATCTACATCATTTTGATGGAGAGAATTGAAGCTCAGTCGCTTCTGTTGACCTGTGTTGTCCATCACCCGCCTTCTGAAAATCGGGACTTGACCTTGTTGGTGCATTTTCAAAATGTGTCTTTCCCTCCCTCCCTCCCTCCCTCCCCCCCCCGTTCTCAGCCAGGGTTCATGGGCAGCACTGCCAGGTGGGCTGCCGGCCTCGCAGGCACAGCGTCTTTAGCCTGTCACCTTTCTCCCCATGTGCACCGTGTTCAGTATTCTGACCCTGCCCTAGCTTTCATGTTCTTTTTTTAGGGACTTTCTCTCTTTTGTGCCTTCTGGAAAGAGTCTTAAAACCAAATTATTTCAAAATATGTGCTTCGGAAAGCTCTGAAGCCTATCTTTTTCAAAAAGTTTTTTTTTTTTTTTTTTTTTATTCTTCTTAAAAAGTATGGAACGCTTCACGAAAACCTTTCTTTAGTCACATATGAACTGCTGTCTGGTGGCGCGGGGAGGAGGAGCGAATGCCACGCAGTGGGCGGGCAGGGGGAGGGCGTAGTTCTGGAAGCGAAATAGGCGGTCCGCTCAGTATGGTGTATCATTCAGGGATGTCTGGAAATCCGCTTTGTTACCTTTTTAGCAAATGTAAAAATAGCAACAGGAGCAGATCATCTGGCTGCCTGCTGGAGGGCTGGCTTGAGCTGCTGCGGCCTCTGCCCGGTCCTCCCGGCCCTTGCTCTTCACGATGTCCTTGATGTGCTCAAGGCGGGCACTGCACTTCCATGCAGACCGCTTCCCTCGGCGCCTGCCTCCCCGGCCTCATGCATCCCTTCTCAGGAGCTCGCTGGCTGGCGTTTGTCAGCCGCTGTTGTCTCTCCTCAGTATTCCTCGTCTCCTTCCTGCATGTTTCTGCTGCACTGTGTGGGTATCGGAATTTGCTGTGTTGTATTAAACTACAGAAAATTGACGGTTGCTACACTTGACATAATCCTTACTGTTCTGCTGTGACATTTACCAACCACAGCAAGTGATTTCTTTGTTTTCCAGAGATGATGTCGGTACAGAGTGAGTAACTTTTTAAATATCGAGATAATACATTTGGGCTGAAAGTCCATTATTTAAGAAAATTATGCAGGGGAGGATACTGCACTTCATCAGTATCTTCTAAATGGAAGGAGTATTTCAAGGTCACCAGAACCTTGTTAGGAAATGCAGTGCAGCTGCAGAGGAGGGTCCTGTCCCCAGCGCTTCAACCTTTGTGGGACAGTAGGGGCTTCTCAGAAACGCCTTTCTGGGCTGCGTTGGCCGCATTTAGAAATCAGAGATGCGTTGTAAAGACGTCCTGGGGTCCTGGGTTGGCTGACACAGCGCTGCCTTGTCCTTTTCCCACTAGCACAGTGGTTCCCAATTGCGGGGCGGGGAATGGGGGAGGGGTGCGACGGCCCGACTTCACACCCGGCCCCCGGTGGACTTCTGGCCATGTCTAGAGACGCTGTTAGTTGTCACAGCTCTGGGGTGGGTGCTCCTGGCATCTAGTGGGTAGAGACCAGGGATGCCGCTCAGCATACTACAGCGCACAGGACGGCCCCCAAAAGAGAGTCATCCAGATGTCACTGGTGCTGAGGCTGAGGGCCCCTGCCCTGTGCTGGAGGATTGTGATGTCTTAGCCGGGCCATCTCTGCCTCATTTCCCCATGGCAGATCTGTATGGGTGACCCCAGCAGCTTCACACACATCCCGCAGCAGTGGGCACAGAAGCTGCTGCAAGGCTGGGACATTATACTTCTGCCCAGCACCTGCCCTGTTCCAGATATTTCAAAGAAATTCTGTGGTTTATGTGATGTCATAAAGACATGGTCTTTGGGACTTCCCTGGCAGTCCAGTGGTTAAGACTCCGTGCTTCCAATGCAGGGGGCCCGGGTTCAATCCCTAGTCAGGGAACTAACATCCCACATGCTGTGCAGCTCGGCCAAAAAAAAAAAAAAGATAAACTCCCCCACAGCTAACAGAAATATGTGAGGGTGCCAGTGGTTCTGCCTGGGGGTGGGGATACCCCAGGCAGTATCTGGGGTGTGTGTGTGTGTGTGCACACACAGTACATAGACACACAGGGTTCAGAAACCTGCACATATATGGTTGTACATCTGTGTACACATAAATAATACATGAATACATTGTTTTTGTCAAAAATGCAATCACTGGAGACCTCCCATCTTATCCTCCTCTCTAATCCTACCTCTCACCATTAATGATTTGCTATGAAACCTTCCAGTTTTTACCTAAACATTGAAATAAATTAAGCTCAATATAGTTAAATACAGTATATGATGCATAGCTTTTATAATGGTTATAGCCATCGTCTACGGATGGACATCTAGATGATTCCAGTTTTCCCTTTTCACAAATGGTGCACATCTATTTATAGTTCCCAGCCTTGCAGAGATGGCTGTTTCCTTCGACAGATACATAGCAAGGAAACGTATGGGTCTAAAGACATGTCCATTCAAAGTTCGGAGAGATACCAGTGAATCGTCTTCCGAAGTAACTTACACACTTTACACTGCCACCAATGGCAGTTGAGAGCCCTGATTTCTGTATCTCCTCCTCATCGTTAAATACCACCATTCTTTGTAAATTTTTCTGGAGTGATGGGCATAGATGTTCTGTCACTTGTCACGTGCTTTTTCCCTGGTGAGAATGATGCACTTTTGCACTGATGGTGCAGTTCAGCATAATTTTGTGTGACTTTTGGTTAGTTAAATTGCCAGGTCTGAATTTTTTTTCAGACAAGTGCTCCTTTCAAAACATGTTACATCCCATCATCCATTAAGGGGTGGGGGTGGGTTTTGCGCCCCCCCCCCCCAGGGGATGTTTTTGGTTCTCATGACTGGAGAGGGTACTGCTGGCATCCCGGGCGGGAGCCCAAGGACGCTGCTAAACAACCCACAATGCGCCGGACGGTTCCCACAGCAAAGATGTGGGTGGCCCAGAGTTTCTTTTTGCCTTCGAGAAACCTTACTCTTGAGCTTCTTATCTTGCTCCAAAATCCCTACTGTGTGTGGACATCAAGGGCTTAGGAGAAGGTCTTCCATGGACTCAGGGCGTTAGCCTCGTCCAGCCACGTTGGCCCCCTTGCATGCCAGGCCTCAAACCGTCCAGGCACGCTCCTGATTTAGTGCTTGGAGTTGGCAGAATAATGCTGCCCCAGATGTCCTAATCCCCAAACCTGTGACTCTTTGCCTTCCATGGTAGAAGGAACTTTGCAGATGGCCTCAAGCTAGAGATCTTGAGATGGGGAGATGACTCTGGATTATCTAGAGAGGCTCAATGTAATCACAGGGTCCCTATAAGAGGGAGAAGCAGAGAAGGAGATGTGAGGGTGGCAGAGATCAGAGTGATTCAGGGCCTAGGAATGTGGGCAGCCCTTGGAAACAGCTGCAAAATGGATTCTTCCCAAAGCCTCCAGAAGGATCACAGCCCTGCTCGCCCATTTTTGACTTCTGACATCTGGAACTGTAAGGTAATCACGTGTGTGTTGTTTTAAGCCACCAAGTTCGTGGTAATTTGTTACAGAAACAAAAGGAAACTAATACAGTGCCCTTGGCCCTCCCTCGCTGTTTCCTCTGCCTGCAATGGAATGCTTTGCCTCAAATGGTCACGTGGCCCCTGCTCTCCTTCTGGTCATTCTGTCAGAGACACTTCTCTGATCATCCTGAATCAAGTTGCACTCCCATCCCCACCCCCATCACCCTGATTCTCCCAGCAAATGTAATCACCCAACCTGTTCTGTACTTATGTGTTTGCTTTTTTATTGTCTGTCTTTCCCTGCGAGAATGGGAAGCCCATGAGGGGCAGGGGTTTTTGTCTGTTTAGGTCATTGCTATAATTCCAGCAGCTGAGTACCTGGTGAATATTTATTGAATGAGTAAACAGGGGTCTGCTTTGGCCACGCTTGTTCTTTGGCCTTCACCCCTGTGAGTGGGCGAGTGGACAGAGTCCTGGGGCCCAGTCAGCTCTGGGCCAACTGCTATGTTCCTGGCTCCCTTCCCCAAGGCCCTCGTCCTGGTGTGAGCCGTGGGATATTTCCCCTTGACTTAAGAGGAGAAAGGACATCTAGACATGCATGTCTTTAGGTATCTGACGGAGGCAGGGCACAGTCACCTCATACATCATCATTCCAAGCTCGGCTTATGCTTCTTGGGCCGTCATGGTCATTGGAAAGGGCTTGTGGTCTTGGAACCCCCCGTGATGCGTCCTGTTCTTAGGTGTTGGAGAAAATGGCATTGGAGCTGGGCCCTGAGGGTTGCTGGAATTCTGGCTGCCCATACGTTGAGGAAGGGCTTTCTCAGTCCAGGGGGAGCAGGGATCAGGGCGGAAAGTTGTATAATGGCAAGTTTCTTAGGGGTCAGGGAAGAACGGCCCCTGAGAGAGTTCTCTGGGGCTCGCTTTATGGTCGACCACTTAGAAGATGCATCTCAATGTTTGATAATCAGTTCGGTGCTTTCATTGTACCTTTCATTGTACCTTCTCCTGCTTAAAAACATCCTTGAAGGGGCTTCCCTGGTGGCG